CCTGGCGGCGTGGCATAATCCGCACTCTGAGTGCGTGAGTGAGTGACCTCTCTGCTGCAAGCTGGGTCAGCCATAGTTACTGCGAAGCTGCTCTACGGGATTGGACTTGTTAGTCGAGGAGGGCCAGCAACCTTGCAGACTCTCGCTCCTGCCTACAACAAAATGGTTCGCTTCGATTCCGGAGCATTCGTGACGAGCCCGATTAACTCGGTGATGGCCGAAGCTGGGACTCTACCCTTCGAACTGCTAGCAGCACAGACCACAGTACACATTGCCATCCGAATGCTCACAAAAAATCCAAACAGCAGCACCCTACCTCTGATTACACGCGCTTCAAATCGCCTCCAAGAATTAACCGGTTCAACGCTTCCTGCTGTCGGTTCACTCGTGAGGCAGAGCAATCGCTTGTGGCACGCACGAAAACCGACGATAGTGTGGGATGTGAAAAGAAGCATACGCGCTGGAGACCCACCGGAGAAAGTTCGTCCAGTTCTTCGACAATTACTGGAGACTCGCTTCCATAGTTCAACCATCGTCTACACGGACGGCTCCAAGTGTGAAGACACGGTAGGAGCTGCATTATTCTACGAAGGGCTATCTAGGACCTACAGTCTTCCGAACGAATGTAGTGTTTTCTCTGCGGAGGCCTACGTTATTAAAATGGCCGCCACCATCCCTAATGTTCAAAATGAGTTGGTTATTCTCACGGACTCCGCAAGCTTCCTACTGGCTTTGGAGGCTGGAACTTCCCGGCACCCTTGGGTGCAGGAAGTAGAGAGAATCGTGCAAAGCAAAATCATCCGTTTCTGCTGGATCCCTGGACACGCCGGCATCAGGGGAAACTCTGAAGTTGACCGACTAGCCAATGAGGCTAGAAGACAACCAGCCATCGACGTACCGATTCCAAGCGAGGATGCGATAAAAGCGGTGAAACATGCGCTACGTGGTCAGTGGAATAGGCAGTGGTTTAGCACAACAGAATCGAAGCTGAGGGAGGTGAAATTCGACACGCACAGATGGACAGAACGAGGAAGTTCAGCCGACCAGCGTATGCTTACACGTCTGAGAATCGGCCATACGCGACTAACCCACACGTTTCTTCTGAAGAATGAAGCCCCACCGGTGTGTGAATGTTGTGGCACGGTGTTGGATGTAAAGCACATCATTCTTAAGTGCAGGAAATACGACGAAGAGAGAAGGAAAAATGACATCAGCACCAGTCTACGTGAAGCTCTGGACAACACGGAAGAAAGAACAACACGAATGCTTAATTTCCTACATGAAACGGATTTGTACAAAAAACTCTAGAATAACAAATTACAAGAACTTTAGAATAACAAATTGCACAGGTGAAAGAAATATTAAGCAACACGAAGTAGAAGACTAGAATAACAAATTAAAAGAACTGTAGAATAACAAATTACACAGGTAAAGATGGTAGAAAGATGAAGAAATTCGTCAAGAAAAGCGAAGTAGGAGAGTAGTATGAAGTGAAGCGAAGGAGAAAAGTAATTGTTTGGAAGCAAAGAAGAAAAGAAGAGAGAAGCAACTGAATTGTAGCACTTACACTAACAAAAACACTTGCACACCATACACAATACACCAAACATCAAATCGAACGGACATGAATGCATCGTGGAGATGTAAAATGTCCTTAATAAACAAACAAACAAACAAACAACTGTTCCAAAACCCAATCAGCGAACACACGGTGCTGTCTATGATCGTTAAGCTTGAAATCCTGGATCAACTGGATCTTGTATATGTGCAGACTCAAGTCTCGATGCAGAATTCGCCAAGTTGAAGCTTGCGAGAGGTTGAGTTCTTGTGCGCGGCGCAGAATCGACTGCCGCGGGTTCTACTGCTCACTTTCGCGTACAGCGGCGATATTATCGGCAGATCTTGCGTTCCGTTGAGCGTTCACCGAACCAGTTTCCTCGAATTTGTTCACCACATTGCGAATAGTCCTCTCGGTAGGATGATTATTGGGACCGTAAAATGGGCGAAGCGCTCGGAACGTTGCTCGCAAAGAACAGTTCCTTTTATAAAACTATTTTATCATTTGCACGGGCTGTTGGACGCTATAACCACCGACAAACCGGCATGAATGATAATACAACATACAAAGAAATTTCTGATCAAAGCACAAAGCTGACATCTGCCGCCGTGTTCGCGGAAAATATTTATCCTAGACACGAACACGCGTACAAAATTTATAAGTTGGTTCGTGGCTAATCTATTTCGGACAAATTATTTTTATCTAGATAAAAAGATAAGATTTATATGGTTTTGACAGATGGGATCGCAGCACTTTTGAATCGGCCGTTATGGATTCTCGATCAAGAGTTAAGATTAAGTATCATATCGGTTTGTCGGTGCTATAACTCTCCATGGTAATTTGGCAAGGCACACTGTATAAATGACATCTAATTTGACACTTGTAGCTTCAACAATATGGCCGCAATGAACTGTAAAAGTTAGGAAAACACTATTAGTAATCCCTTTGTTTACAATGAAAACTATCTACAGACCCTAGGAATTCAATAGGTACCACAATTTCAAATTAATAAATTAATAATAAAAAACTCGTGTATTTTTAAGATAAAGCGCAGAGCGAAATACTATTTTGAATAGGGTAGACGTACCAGTCATAATAAAGGCTGACTAAAAGTAAATTGGTACGCACAAAAAGATTTCGTGATTCAATAAGTTTAAAAAGTCCATTAATGCTTGCTTTTATTAAAACTTTAAAGTTACAGCATTAGATGGTTACATTTCTCCAGTTCAAACGAAATCTCGTACCTTCCTCTTGATGGAGCTCATCAGCGCCCGCACAGTGGAAACGGACACGGAATCAGCGCATTTCTTCCATTTTGCCCTCATTCGCGGGATGTCCTTGACTGCCCCGCCGCTTCGTCGAAGACGCTGCTTTGGAATTGCCCAGTATTTTTCGATTGGTCGAAATTCCGGGTAAAATCGATCTTGTTGGCAGTATACCACTTCAGAAGCACCTTGGAGTAGTGGCAGCTGGCCAAATCGGGTCAAAATACGACTTTGCCCCTATGCTTGCGGATGAACGGCAATACACGCTTTTTCAGGCATTCTTCGATGTAAACCTGGGATGTCATCGTCGAGGATGTGACAAATGGTTCCGTTTTCAGGCCACAACTGCAAATCGCTTGCCAAATCATGGTCTTCTTTGCGAACTTGATGGCAAACTTTTCACGGCGAAGCTGCTTTAAATTGAGTTTGACGTATGTTTCGTCATCGACTAAAGTGCAGCCCTTGTGTTTCGTTAAAACACGGTCTTACAAGAGCCTTGCACGCTTTTTGGCCACGGAATTCTACTTCATGTGCCGCTTTGGATGTTTACTGGCTTTGTACGACTTGTATCCTTCCCTGGCAAGGATGTTCCGCACCGTTTGAAAGTTGACGTTGTACCTTCTGGCCACATTTCGGATCGAAAGACCGGGGTTGGCTTTAACGCACTTCAACACCTTGCTGCGCAGCTGACGATTCCAGTTTTTTCGTAGGTACGCTGATTCCTTTCCACACTCAGGGTTTCCTTGTAGATTTTGAGCACTCGGCACTCGACAAACTGTTGTTTTCGGCAGCTTCAGCACTTTAGCCAGCTTGGAACCGGACCATTTGACGTTATTCCTGAACGCGATCGACTACTTGGATCAAACTTGCACCGGTTGTTCTCTATAGAAGTGTAAACAAACCACTGTCGAAGATTTTCGATTCCCAATACTAGAGGCATGCTAGCGGCGTGCGAGGGGCGTACCAATTTAGTCAGCCCTTAGGAACATTATAGACATGACTGGTATCTGGGGCAAATTATTTTTTGTGCTTCAAAACTTTGATATTTTGGAAGGGGGGGGGGGGGGGAGGGTGATGTTAATTAAAAATAAAATTTGCATCAGCCATATGGTCTTTTGGAAATTTTCAATAAGTATCTTGAACTTGTACTTGAAATACAAAACATCAAGTCTTTTAATATTTCGAGATGTTAAATTCAACATTTAATGGATTTCATTGTAAAGCTGTTTTTTTTTTAAACTGAGTGTCATATGTATATGAAAGAATTATAAATCGATTCCATTCAATCCTACTGCACCCTCAGAGATCATTGGAACTGGCCGCGGTAGGGAGCTACTTTTTCACCCTACCTGACCCCGGCAACCCACTGCAGTGTACTGTAATAAGTCTGACTACAAGGACTAAACAACTACTCTGAATTTTTTTCAAAAAACATGACAAGATACCCCATTTGCATTGAATATTTCATCATTTAACAGTGTTCTCAAAACCAACAAATGTCACTCCAAGTCAAAGAAATATCATTCATGACTATGCAATTTCAATTTGCAAACTTTGATAACACTGAAGAGGCTTGTTAGCCGGGAAAACACTCTGTTCTTTTCATTTACATCGCTAAATAGATGCCATAACGGTCTCACGGTAATTGAGAATTTCTTAAACTTCCCAAATCGCTTCTGCCAAACAAAGGAACATCGACTTTCCGACAGGATACACATTTATTCAATTTGCAATCTCATCGATAAGCTTTTCCGCGAATCCGAAATGAAGGATGCCCAAGTGCCTCTTGGTGTCTTGGTGACTCAATTGGCTCTTACACGGCAGCATCACAACAGCCCGGTATCAGCTAACAAATTAGTCTTCCGATTTCAATTCCGCAAGGGTTCAGGCGCAAAATGTGAAACACGACCCTGTTCCGGAACCGTATCACGACCCCCTCTGCCCCATCAGGCGTTGCACAGCATCCTTTAATACCACTTTATTGTGTCTCAACTTTCTATAACCAGCTTGCTCAACTGTGAGCCTACCTTTTCCGAGACAATCATAAAGGTCCCACGCACACGAACGTCGATTCATCCTTCCGCGACCCACTAGAACAGTATGAATTGTCTTCCTCTCTGCTCCAACCCCCATCCCGCTACTAGAGGAGACAAAAGACAAAAGCATTCTCAAATTACCTGATATTGTAAGTAATCCCAATAGCATTCCAATGAAGCTCCTCATCGTTGTTATTCCTCCGGATCCGTGGCGGGTGCTTCGAAAGCTCTTCCTCATGCTGTTGCTTTTGCTGCTGCCACCGTCGGCGGCGTCGTCTTCTTCGTACTGTCGTTTCGCTTTGTTCAGCATTAAATTAAATTTTGCATCCGTCCCCACAGCCTCATAACCCTCCCTCGCGACGTGACCTGCGGGGGGTGAGTTCTTCGCGACGTTGTTCCCACCACTCACACAAACACACTGCCACTTTTGCTGTTTCCCTGCTCAGTAGCGCACTGGTTCTTGTGCACTTTCTTCTTCCTACTGTTAATAACGATTTAACTTGCCGAAGTTCAGTGAGAAGTAGGTACGTACCTCAACTCAATATGTGGAGAGTTCTTCAGCTTCAGCAGTACCGTGCGATGGGGTGCAGCCGTTGCCGTTCATGATTGATCTGAAGCACATTTTGATGACGCTGATTTCACTGGGAAATACGGTAGATGTGAGTGAGATAAGGGGTGAAGCAGAAGTGTGGCTCACTTTTGGAAATTAAATTTACTTTATAGTCTTAAGTAATTGTTTAAATTTTTCACCATTTTTCCTGAATTTGAGATTCAAAATTCAAAACAATTTAAAGCACTTCTTACGAGTTTAATCCGCAAACGATATTTAAATAAATGATAGGTAATAATGGCCCATTGACAGTAGCGTGCGCAGAAGGTGGAAGGGGTTTCCACCATCCCGGGATTCGGGAAATATTTATTTGATATCCCGGGAAATCCCGGGATTCCGAGAAGTTAATAAAGATAATAGATTATTTTAATACTTGTGTGTTTGCAATTATTTTTTAACGATGTTCTGAAATGCATGTTTATTTTTTTTCTCCACTGTTCATCTCCTTCGAAGAATAAAAAAAAAGTAAGAGGTTGTATCCAAGACATCCAAGACCGTATTCCGATTTGACGTAGGATTACGTGCTTGGTATCAATATTTAGCGACTGTGTTGGTGGAAACCACTTTTTACAGGCAATCAGTGATAATTTTGATCACCATTACAATAGTTGGACATTTGTGAATTTTTCAATAGTTACCTATTGAAAATTGATAAAGTATTCATTTTAGCAGCTTTGTAGAAAAATTTCCAATCGATTGGCTTGTTAAGAATTAAAATCCATACGATATTGACAGAGTAATAAGTTGTCAAAACCTGACCACTTTTCGTAACGCGGTCGATTTTGGTTTATTTGAAATTGCACCCCCAATATGTTGCCGAAAGACGTAGTCCCACGTCAAAACCCCCGTCTCGATGAGTCTCATCGTCGCCTACTGGTCACCATAGCCGGTCGAGCTTCAGGCGAAGTTAGAACCGCACTACTGTTCATATTGGCGACAACGCTCTGATGAGGCAACGAAACCTCACCCCCAAGCTCAACCCCTTTTCCTATACTTCGGCAATGCACCCCTCTAACCTCGAGGGTGCGAAGGCCGGCAAAAAGGGGACTACCCAGTGCAAGAGTACTGGGGTTGGTGCTAGTCCACCTGCCGGTCTTACGCAAGTTGCTACCAAGAGTGGAAAGACTACTGGTAGGGAGGGCAAAGTGCTAACCCAAGAGGTTGGCACAGACCCCTTGCCTGATGCCGAAACACCAACCGATAAGGACAAACAGCTCCTGGAAAAGTTGGTGGAAAGTCTACGTAAGGAGGTCGCCCTTGGCAAGGGGAAGATCAAACAGCTCAAGGAGTCCAAGACTCGCCTTGAGATGGAATGTGCTCCCCGTGTTGGACAACTCGAAAGAGTTGGCGTTAACCTCGACTCTGATGAGCGCGAGGTTACTGCTCCCGTGACCCGTAGGAAACGGAAGCAGACCGCCGGCCTCGAGGACACTCGAGGTAAGAAAAGCCGGAAAAAAGGAGAAAATACAGCACCTTCTCCCCCTATTGACTCGGTATCGGAGCGATGCTGTTGCCGGTAAAAAGTAGTTACCATGTCCGATGTCCCACAACAGAATGGTAAAGAGCCATCGAACGTAATACTGCAATGGAATGTCCATGGGTTGCGATCAAAGTTATCTGAGATCCAGCTATTGACAAAGAAACTGCCCAGACAACCAGAATGTACGTATATTTAAAGTTGTTTCTGTGATATACAAACATATATCCAAACAAACAAATCGTATAGAATGCAAAAAAAGGGCCTATACCTACAAAAGTGGAGGCCATATACGTGCAAATTTTAATTTCTTTTTAAACGAGTTGATTTGACATTATATGCGATTCAATCTGTAATAACAAATTCAATTTGAAAAACCTTACGATGTAATCCGATTTAATTTGTGATACAGTACGATGAAAAAAAGATTCGTCGTATATAAGTCAGAAATTTGCATTCTATACGATTTAACTTAAACATAATGCGATGTATGTCATACTTATATGCGATGTTGACTTAAACTGTAGTTATTTACGATACTTTCTGTACATTATTATACGACTTCTGGTTGTCTGGGTGAACCCTTGTGTCGTCGCTCTCCAAGAAACGATGGCCAAGGTAGCAGATCTACCTCCAAACTATCTCGGTGGTAGATATAAGTGGTATATTAAGCCTCACATTAATGCCTACATCCACGGCACTGGATTGGCTATTAGAGAAGATAAACCACATAAGGTAGAGCAGTTGGATACTGAACTGGAGGCCACCGCGGTCACCATTCAGTTTCCGTATAAGCTGACTGTTGTTAGCTTATACATGGCTCCGAGGAATAGGGTTGGCAAGGAAGTGAACGTCATCGGCAAACTGCAAGATCTCATCTCGCAGCTGCCTGTCCCTTATGTGATAGTGGGCGATCTGAATGCGCATCACCCCTCCTGGGGATCACATAAGACGGACGTTCGTGGTGAGAGGTTGTATCAGCTACTGGACACGTTGGGTTGTTCAGTGCTGAACGATGGCAGACCGACTCGGTTCGATCCCACCACCGGGGTAGAGTCCGAGATTGATCTTACCATAGCCTCTTGGGATGTAGCCAGCCAGTTTATCTGGCAGGTTGACGATGACTTACACGGAAGTGATCATTTTCCTATCTCATTGTCACAGGCTGTAAACCTCCCGTCTACTGTGACAAGGCTGAGATGCAACCTTGAAAAGGCAGATTGGGACAGCTTTGGCAAAGAAGTCTGTCGTATCCCTTGCTTAGGAGATTACCCCTTGTCGGCCGATTGGCTCTTCTTGCTACTATGAACGAAGTCTGGCTTTCTGGCCAGATACCGGACGAGTGGAAAGAAGGGTTGGTTATTCCTATTCCAAAACCTGGGAAGGATAAAACCCTAACAGAGGGTTATCGGCCGATAACCCTGCTGAGCTGCATGGGAAAAACACTCGAGCGGATGGTTAACCGTCGTCTGTCTACCAAGCTGGAGAGGCAAGGACGGATCCACCCACGGCAACACGTATTTCGATGCGGCTATGGGTCGGAGACGTTCTTCTCTGAGCTCGATCATTTATTGGACAAGACCTCGTCGGAAGATTTGCATGGAGATGTAGTCTCCCTCGATTTGTCCAAGGCATATGATATGACATGGAAGCTTCCTATCTTGACTTCCCTCAAGAGCTGGGACTTCCAAGGATGTATGTTTAAATACGTAGAAAACTTTCTACAGAACCGTAGGTTCCGAGTATTGATCGCTGGCACAACCTCTACCTCGAGGTTGCTGGAGAATGGCATCCCGCAAGGGTCTGTCCTTTCGGTTACACTGTTTCTCATTGCGATGAACTCAGTGTTTGAACGCATTCCCAAGGAAGTATACATCATTGTATACGCCGATGATATTACCCTTATCGTGTTAGGTAAATACGGTAGGGTGGTTAGGCACAAGATGCAGGATGCAGTTCAGTCTGTCGTTGACTGGGCAGATGGTGTTGGGTTTGTGATTTCCCCCGAGAAGTCCAAACTGCTGCACGTCTGCTTTGGTCATCATCACAGACCGAACCTGCCTTATGTTAGTATCGGTGCGGTCAAGGCCGTACGCGAGAAGAAACTGCTTGGTGTGACTATTGATAACAAACTCCGATTTGTTAAGCACGCCAAGTTGGTGAAGGATAACGTCAACAACAAGTTGAATATCCTTCGGACCCTAAATGGTCGCTTCTCTGAAGCCTCTCGCAGTACATTGACCAAGGTTGCTAGGGCTCTGGTTGTCCCTAGCATCCTTTACAGGGCGGAACTGTGGAGCAGGGGTGGTGTCTCCCTGCTCAAGATTCTGGAACCTCAGTACAATGAGGCGTACAGAATTTGTAGCGGAGCGCTGAGGTCTTCACCAATAGCTTCTCTGTTGGTGGAGAATGGAAAGGTCCTTTGGTGAATGTTGTCACCGAAGACCTGGCCACCAAGGCGCTAAGGCTCCTAGAAAGGGATCCCATTATCAATGACAGGCTCACGGTTGCAAGGGCGAGAGAATGGTGGAGCGACTTGACGGGAGTAGATCTTCCCACGTTAGCCCAGCGAGCTAGGCTGTGGCAACGGGCATGGGATGCTACTGCCCCGAAAGTTGATTGGAGGGTTAAAGCTATGTGCGGGGCGGGGGCTAGCTCTAGTGTGGCGAAAGCTGCATTTAGGGAGGTCGCTGCCTCGTACGAGGGAAGGCTCAAGCTATTTACGGACGGTTCATTAATCGAAGAGGAGGTTGGTTATGGGGTGTCTGGGGAGGACATAAGCCGCTGCGGCTGGTTACCCGGTCTCTGTGGTATCTTCTCAGCTGAGGCCTATGCTCTCCTGCAAGCTTGTAGGCTAGCAAATGGGTCTCAGGCCGTTGTATTTTCTGACTCTGCGAGTTGTCTCTCTGACCTTGAGCATGGGCAGGTTGGACACCCGTGGCTGTCAGAGGTGCAACAGTACGCTAACATAACCTTTGTATGGGTACCTGGACACACAGGTATACCAGGGAATGAGGCTGCTGATAAACTAGCTAACCAGGGTCGTCTTGCTCTACTAGAGGCCACTCCGGTGCCCCATAGTGACGCTACCCGCTGGGTGAAGCAGATCTCGCGATACGCATGGAATGTGTCTTGGCATAACAACCGTGATGCATTCCTGCGTCGTATCAAGAACACTACACAAGAGTGGAAGGATGCACCTAATTCTCGAGATCAGAAAGTTCTGACTCGGCTGAGGATTGGTCATACACGGCTCACTCATGGACCCCGTTTTAGCGGCAGTGTGGCCTACTGCCAAGGATGCGGTGCGGTATTAGATGTAAATCATCTATTGGTGGAGTGCCCGGCAAGAGCACAATTAAGGGAAGATATGGGTGTCGTTGGTTCAATCCGTGAGGTATTGTTCAACGACAGGAGTACAGAGCAAACTGTACTCAACTTCCTGAGGGCGTTAGACTTATACGATATGATATAAGCATGAGTAAGTTGAAGTGGCATTAGAAAGAAAATGACTGGTAGTCATGCCACTTCATTCGACAAGAGACAGTCTTTAA